TGAAGAAAATCTGCAGGACGTAACGCAGGAATGCAGGATGCGGGCAACCGGCAACACAACAGCACGCGCGTCGCGTTGCATGCGGTTCGGGGCGATCGAGCTAGCGAGGCGCCGCGACCAGCAGTTCAAGAGAGTATGGGTGTGTTTAATTAGTTAACGCTAAAATTAAAAGTTTGATTGAAATTAGAACGATGTGACAGAAAAGTTAAAATTTTATGTGTAGAAAAGTTTTGATGGGATGAAAAAGTTAAAAATTTAAAGAAAAAATTGGAACTAAATCAGGCCTACGTACACGGACCTAACACGGTCGACAGCCGGTGTTTCTAGCTGTACGTTACACGAGTTGACAGATGACAGCCAGAGCCTGCATGCAGCTTCGTCCTTGGCTGACAAAAAGATCCGGGCATCCAGCTAGCCTGCGCCTCTCTTCTTCTAAGTGCAAGTATAATAGTAAGGTATAAGCCGGCTAAATGCTGAGGTGGAGAAGAAAGAGAGGAGAGAGAGGAAAAACGGGCTGTAAATTTATAGCCGGCTTGGACACAAAAACTAAAAAACTCTACGAGAAAGACAAGTGGGCCATGTATTAATTGTAAATAACTAACTATTATATGGGCAGGCTGAGAGAAGGCTAAAAAAACCTTATAGCCAACAGGTCGGCTGTATTATTAACCTTTGCTCTAACCGTGGGACATGCATGCATGTGTCATGTGTGTTTGAATCGGTCAGGTGCTGCCAAATGCACGTACTACGTATATATACACTGTACTGAACGGCGAAGGAGATCAGGGATCATGCATGAGTTGGTGAGCTGAGATACATAAAAATCTTCGATCGATCGCCCATTAATTCAATGATAGACTGGCATGCCGGAGCTACCATATAGCGCGCGTGTGTGTCTATATAGCGCGTGTATGTATGTATATGTAGCTAGCTAGACTAGAAGTTAGGTATTTTTGGACTAAAATCTACCTTGAAAACAATACTTCCATAATGTGTTGAACGTTGACTAATTAACATGTTATCGTGATAGATAGAAACTTGTGCTCAAATTTTTTTATGCAAATTTAAACAAAAGTCAGTATCAAAACATATGTACTCCCTCCATCCCTAAATGTTTGACGCCGTTGACTTTTTAAAATATATTTGACCGTTTGTCTTATGAAAAAAATTAAGTAATTATTAATTTTTTCTATCATTTCATTCATAATTAAATATATTTTTATGTATACATGTAGTTTTACATATTTTACAAAAGTTTTTGAATAAGACGAATAATCAAACATATTTAAAAAGATCAACGGCGTTAAATATTTAGAAAAGGAGGGAGCATATACGACCAGGGTTCGTTACGCTGTGATTGGAGTACACATGTTAACATGAGTAAAAAAACTGAAAAAGGTCTACTAACGACTACTTACCAAATGTACAAACTGCTTAATGCAGTGAAATGGACATATATCTATGTGTACTGTATATGCAAGATAACTGACATGTGACACAAATATATTAGTTGAAAACCCGACAAAATTCCAGAGAAATGGATCGACGACCTATTCTAGAGGACGACTTTTGAACTATTTAAGAATGCGAGAGCGACTGTTAACTCACACCATCCCACAGCTTCTTATGTCCACATTGCTAGGGGAAGATTGACGATTATTAATGCTACAAGAGTGGAAGTTTTCTTCCTTTGCCAGATTGCTAGAGTGTCAACATTACGATCGAGTACCAATTCAATCATATGACCCTGAAAAATGAGCCGTTCCAGCCCCTTGTTTTTTCACTTCCCATCAATGGTTATTAGCACTTATTAGTAGTAGATTGCTGGTTGCTATCAAATAGTAGTACAGTACGAGGGATAATTATTTGCAGCCTCTTAGAGCAAGTTTAATAGTATAGCCCACTACTAACTGCAATTCACCTATAACCAATCTAGTAGCCAATTCATATAATAATTGCTTACTATACTATCAATATATAGTCCCACCTGTCATATATACACACTGTGTCTTGGAGTCCGCTAGTTACAGATCTGTAGCCCGCTACTCTTCTCTCTTATCTTTTATCTCATTAAAAATATATTTATAGTCGGCTAATAGTTTGCTATTGTACCTGCTCCTATGCATGCATGCTGCCTGCCTACCCAACTGCTAGGACATTCTGCTAGCTATAGCTAGCTGATCCACACTATTAGCATCATTGGGCAATTTTAAGCTAGTCGAACTGCGGTGTTGGGTAACCAACCACACGAAGAATTTGCATCTTTTAGATTGAGCTCTCGAAAAGCTTCTCGATCGATTTTAGAATAGCCGTTCACATATCAATTTGCATGCGCCTCAAAAGATACAGTACTACTACGCGCAACTGTGTACCAAACGAATTGAAGGTAGCAGAAGAGGTCAACGGCCGGATTCCACGACCATGAATGATCAAGTGGGTTAATTTATGGTTGCAACGGAAGAATATTCAAGCAAGCCTGTACTTCTGAAATTGGAAAGTAAACGCCACGGGTCATCGCCTGAACCAGTCAAGCAGTGTTGCTGCAGCCTGCAGATCAGTTTACCCATGAATATATACAGCGCAACGACAGCCGTACTATAGTTTGTCCACAGTACGCTGGATTTTTTTTTTCTAATCTTTAGTTTTAAAGATAAATATATCCAAAACTTATTTATAAGATCTGCACCTTTTGACCGAACTAGCGTGCTAAAACAATATTATATCATACTAGTTTGATTGGCATGGCAGTATTATTTGACCACGCCAATATAACCGGCGTGACTAAAAGAGTTTAGATTTTTAAAATTAGTTTTATGAGGGTTTATTTTTAAAATAAAAAAGTTTCAGACAATAAAAAAAACATTCCAGTATGCTGAAGGTTGACGTTTTTCAAATTTTCGGGTGTACCCATGGTTTCTGGTAGTAGGATGTATGTTCAAATTAAATTTAAATTCAAATTCTGTGAAAATATGTCCAGAATTGAACTGTTCAAACTATCCAAAATTTGGGTCCCCCGATATTAGAATTTATATATAGCATGTATTCGCAATGTGCTAAGTTTATGCATCTCTGCTCCTTGATTAATTAGTCAACGTACGAGCCAGGGAGCATAATTAACCTAGCTATAGCTAGCTAGATGGCGAGCCAGGGAGTATGGTGCAGAAGCCAGAAGTCAATCGCGAGCATGCAGCGGACGAGCTAATCAAGTCATGCCCAGTTCCCTCGACGTCGTATTTCTCCATAAAAAAAAACTTAAGGATGTGATACGTTAATGAATTTGAATAGGGGTTATCCAGATTCATTATAGTAAAATATGTCCTACTTCCTTCGTTTCACAATGCAAGTCATTCTAACATTTCCCACATTTATATTGATGCTAATGAATCCATACATATATATCTATTTAGATTCATTAGCATCAATATGAATGTGAAAAATGCTAGAATGACTTACATTGTGAAACGGAGGGAGTATCTTTAACTAGGTTGAGTTTTTTTGGATGGATAGAGTAGACGCCTACTCCGGTGTTAGTACGGTGGAGTAGGGGACAGGTTTTACTTATCGCACGATAATCGCGCGATTATCGTGGTTATCGCGCTTATCGTGGGGTACGGTAGGGGAAACCGGCGATATAGTTTGGATGAATTTTGACCGAATTCAAAATTCCGGAAAAAAATTGAAAAAAACTGAAAAAATTCATGGATGTAGTTCTTGATTTGTAATTGCCAATTGTGAAGAATTTTTTTGAAATAGAGTAAGCTAAATTCAAATTTGAGGGTAAAACCAAAAATGGTTTACAAATTGAAAAAGGAAGAGAATATTAGGCCTTAAGTATCCTACATATTCTTCCAATTATTCTCAATTTCTAGTTTTCTACACATATTCAACCGTATTTTTGATTTTTTTACCCTATTTATTTTACATTTACATCTTTCAGCTATACAGCCCGCGATAACCGTGCGAATATCATGGTTATCGCGGTAAACCGTGCGATTATCGCGGTGAAACCACGAAACCGCTGAGTTTTGAATTCGAATTTTTGGATGTGATTTTTGTGCGATTTTAGACGATTATCACGCGATTATCACGGTTATCGCGCTACCGCGGGGTGGTGATAACCCCGGCCCAAGCGATAAGGTAAACCCTGGTAGGGGCACGATCGACTGAATTGAAAGCTCTGTACATGACGTTTGCTGCTCCGCGAGCTGAATCTTGCACGCTGCCACGCGCAAGTTGATCTGTGTTCGTGCTTAGCTTGCGCGCGCGAACACTTGACCCGGTCCTCGTCTTCGACGTTTAGACCGATGGACGGACCCCGACGATCAGTTGATGATCGATCGATCGGTAGAGAAAATATATTATACTCTCTCCGTCTCTAAATATTTGACGCTGTTGATTTTTTAAAATATGTTTGACCGTTCGTCTTATTCAAAAACTTTTATGAATATTATTCAAGAACTTGACTAGTAGTAGTATATTTAACGATGAATCAAATTATAGGAAAATAATTAATAATTACTTAAATTTTGAATAAGACGAACGGTCAAACATATTTAAAAAAATCAACGACGTCAAATATTTAGGAACGGAGGGAGTACAACACACGAAGTGAATGTTGTATCTACATTTATACTATATTTTTTTAAAAAAAAATCATACAATACAAACGTATCTCGGCAAAAGTCGAGTCACTCTCTAATATTCTCCACGGGTAAATCCTCTTGCGTGTGGCGTCCGGACTTTCCGATCATGCGTGCATCGATCGATCGGTTGCATGGTCACTAGCTCTCGATCCCGAGAACCCGGGCGTTTAATTGGTCAGTCATCAGTGTGTGTTAGGAACGTACGTAGTTGTCCGAGTACTAATTATTACTAGCTCGATCGGAGCTTAGCTGCTACTGTACGATGGAGTGCGATGTGTGGTTCCGATCGAATAGGCTCGTGTTGCTTCCTTCTCTCTCACCTGCGCACACGTACTGTACATATATACGCCCCGGCCCGGCCCCTAGCTAATACCTGCAGCTGTGTGTAGTATATATAGAGCCGTTTGTGCGTAGCTCGGTCGATCGTATCCATCACGATTCACAAGGCAGTTAATTTGATCTTGGTTTTTCGAGCTCTAAAACTGCTGATCGATTCAATACTCAGTAGCTAGCTAGCTATAGCCACCTAATTCATCGCCACGTACAAACGGACATCTGCTTTCTGAAACTGTTTCTGTTGATAGCCGGTGATCATAACAGCGCAGATAAACGTACGGCTTCCAAATGAAGGTAAGAAAAATCGGTCTCCGATGAACTCCATCTCCTCTGAACATTCTGACGCAGAGAGATCAAGTGGTACTGCAGAAGAAGAAACGAGAAATGATCTCGTTTAATTTCTTAATACATATATGGTCGTTCTTTGATTTGTATTGCGCAGCAAAAGATCGTGATCAAGGTGTGCGCGCCGTGCGAGGGGTGCCGGGCGAAAGCGCTGGAGGTGGCGGCGAGGGCGGCGGACGGGGTGATCTCGCTGGCGATCACCGGCGACGACAGGGACAAGCTGGAGGTCGTCGGAGTCGGCGTCGACGTGACCCGCCTCGTCATCTGCCTGCGCAAGAAGGTGTGCTACGCCGAGATCCTGCTGGTGGAGGAGGAGAAGGAGGAGGAGGAGAAGAAGGAGCCGGAATGCAAGCCGTGCTACTGGCCTCCCTACTGGTGCCCGCCGCCGGAGGATCCGACTTGCAAGCCGTGCTACCCTCGCTACAGCTACGCGCCGCCGCCGCCGGCGGTCGTCGTCTGCGACGAGCCCAGCGCCTGTTCCATAATGTAAAAAAGGAAAAAGAAATTAAAGAAAAAAAAAGAGATTTGAAGGAAGAGACGTCTCTTCAAGCACTTTTTTAAGAAGAAATTGTGAACGTGTTAAGGATATTGAACACAAGATATTGAGATTGAAACCACACGACCCTTATATTACCACTGTACTATCAAGTGCACCTCTGTTCCATCACGTAGATTAGTCACTCAACTAAAACCGGCGAATATATATACCTTACATGCATCGGTTGTAAAAACTAATGCTGCTTAATTTCATGGTGCTAGACCAAAACCTGTACACATGAGGATTTTAGAATCGGCACTAACGAGGTTTCTTTGCTAGTGCATCATGTTGTGTAAGCAGAGAGACGTTAACATACTTGCGGTTGCAATTGGGTTGCCACGAAATACCTTTTACCTATATTGATAGTATTTTGTTACAAATAACATTACCAGTAAATTATTGAATTTTTAATATTTACAGAATACTCCGCTTAGTTCTATTAACCGCTCATCACGTAAACATAGAGACGACATTGAACTTATAACCCAACAAGATGTTAACATGTTTTACAGAGATGTTTCTAATTAAATGGCGTCTTACTCATTTGGGGAAAAAAATAAATGACGTTTTGTTGTTCATCATTCACTTGTTCTATACTCCAAATGTTAGCTAATTTTCTAGCCTGCTAGTGAGTTTTTTTTTATAGTTTACGCTACTAGAATAGGAATACCAAAATAACCCCTTAGACTTACGGCAAACGTGATATGATAAACTTAGCCGTCAACCAAATAGCCCCTCACAGTACAATGGAACAAGACCGATGGACTTTATTTAATTTGCATATCGATCGGAGTTATGTGGCTACTGAGAACGGACATCAAAAGTGGGTAGATGTCTCTATTTACGGTAAAACATGCATGAATCTTTGATATCATTATCCTAACACTTAAAGTTTGACTAATTAAAGCTTTAGTCAACTGGCTAATAAATATCTTTTCTGACATAGTACTCCCTTATTAATCCCTGGCCTGGCTAGTGGGCTGTCTTGTCCCATGGGCCCAAATCAACTTCCTGGACCACCCCAGTGCCCCACGCGGTCGCGACGAAGTCGGCCTCTCCCGCTGCTCTTGCCCCTTCTCGGCCGGCGCCGCGGTTCTTTCAAGATCTAGGTTCGAAAGAGGCTGTGTTTGTGCTCAGGTATTTACCTTGAATTTTTGCTATATATGTTCGTCCTTTCCAATAATCACATGTCTTTCCTTGAGAAATACAGTAAAACTGCTGTGCATGCTTAGTTTCTGTTCCTTTTTTTTTTTGGAACGAATCGACTTAGTTTCTGTTCTAGAAGAGAACTGAGAAATTAAGGAAGAAAATTGTTGTGCTCCGGTCACATTCTTCTGTCGTCAGCTCTTTGATTTAGTGTCCATCTTTGTCTTGCTTTGTTTCAATCATGTGGGAGAAAAGGTGACACGGATATCACTGCCAAATTAAGCAAGATGTCATATTCTTCTAACCTAAGGTTTAATTTGGTAACCTCCTTGAAAAAACTTCTTTTAAAATAATTGTAAGCATAAGGGCATGTTCAATGGTAAAGATGAGTATGGTCTCTTAAACAATACAAGATTATTTAGAGGCCGTGTCTGTACAATAGTTGAGACGATAAAGACTCTAATCATTAACTCAAAAATATTATTTTTGTTAATATTCTTTCCATTCTTTTACCCTCATGCAACCATATTTCCATATTATAGTGATTAAAAGTCGTTGTTAAGCCGTTGTCATGCATAAGAACGATGTTTTATCTCTCCTTTTTCTCTTTCTTCCATGTCAACAAGTATTCCTAATTAGCAACGCAAAGAGACCACTGTTGACAACCATTGTACATGCCATAACAAGTGAAATCCTACAAATAAAAAACAAAAAGAGAAACGACTGAAAGTTATTTTTATTCGAACCAGATGTCCGGTTGTTTGAACCATATTTTAAGTCCTCATATTACAAAACTGAGAATAAATTGAGGTGGCTGCCAAACTTGTAGCTTAGCATGTAATTTCTGGCATGAAGAATCAAGTAGGAAGGGCAGAATTGATTTTTTTTCTGTGATAGATTAATTAATTGAGGAAAAAAAACTACCAGAAGTTGTTAGGAAAATGTATCAATAATAATCGAATAGGAGCATTGAAAAAGATCTCATTTCTCTAATACCTTAAATCAATATCGGTAAATCCAATCTCTCTAATTTTCTCTTTATAGAAGAAAGACCATTGTATTTATAATGACCTCACTTTTTGACAGAAAACCAAGCAAGTAAAATCCTCTGCTAATTTCCAAGTACCATAAGACATCTTTACGATGTCACATGTGCATATGCAAGTTGCACAACACAGTAAATTAAACAAACCCAAAGGTGGACCTACATTATTAGGCTATATGATGTGCAGGCTGATACTGGCCGTTTGGGTTTCCGTTTTCAATATTAGACGACATTATTCGATAATTAAAGTTTCAGGTATTTCAAATCTGATACCCGCATCCACGTGACATATACCAGACATTTTCGTTTTTGATACCACGGTTTTCTTATAGAAAAAATGAAATTAAGCAGTAGAGTATCAACTAAGATCCTATTCGAGATTCTAAAGAAACAGATTGTGAGTAGCCAACTAGTCGTAATCTAAAAATATAGATTTGTTACTCCCTCCATTTCATAATGTAAGTCATTTTACCATTTCCCACATTCATATCGATGCCTATCTAGATTCATTAACATCAATATGAATGTGGGAAATGCTAAAGTAATTTACATTATAAAACGGAGAAAGTACATTCTAACCTTTTAATTTATTTTCTGGATTATATACAATTACATAGTTTTGGAATCTAGCTAGATGATTTAGGAAAAAGGCTATAGAGCTGCTAGAAGTTCCTGTTTAAACAGGACATAGGAGTGTTGGACTAAACGGCACTTCAGCAGTCCTGGCAGTCGTACTCCATACGTTTTAAAATAAATTAACATCTTTGTACGAGATATGTCACGTTTCGGTTTATTTTTTTAAAAAAATAGTATGCTCGTAGCAGTAGCACAACTGAACTCTGCTGTCAGCTCAGGCGTGTGCTAGCTAGCAAGCTCGAGCTTGCCGTTAAACTGAATGGCCGCTGCACAGCCACGACTGGGGCAATTAATTAATAGAATTTCGCTCGCGCAGCTCATCAGATCTGGATCCTCGACGACGACGTCAACCAACAAGATTACAAGAACCAAGTCAAGTCGTCGTACGTCCACCTGTACACAATCACACACACAGTCTCTCAGTGCCTGATTAATTAGCAACTCCAATCGGGAATAACCCGTCGGCCAAGAGATGGATGATTAGTTTCAGACATTAATTTGATCCTGACACAGCCAACGCGTTCCGTCAGAGGAGTTAGTGCGCGTTTGTTTAATTGGGAGATTAGCTGCGTGGAATGTTCTTAATTACGTCGTCGCCAAACCTCTCTGCTAGCTAGTACGGTGGCGAGCAGTGTTAGCTGCCGCGCGGCACGGCTTGCCAGCGCGTGTTCCCGCGCTATATAAGGAGCTCCCCGGCGTCGCTTTCTCCTCCACAGCTTTAGCTACGATCGCGACGCACGCAGCTAGCTTCAGCTGATCGCGAACGAGCTCACATTGGTCGATCGGCGTTTGCATCTGCATTGTGCATTGCAAAACGATCGAATTAGAAAGACGTGCAATCGTATTGCGCGTTCGCGAAAAAGGATCGAATTCGACGGAGCCTCTTTAATTCACGCAGAACGCGATGAAGGTGTGAGTTTTGCTTCCATGCAGCTTAGTTTTCGCAATATTTTTGAGCGTTTTCTGAAGCCGATGGATTTCTTATTGGCGTTGTTGATGAATTATTTGCAGCAAAAGATGGTGATCAAGGTGAGCATGCCGTGCGGGAAGTGCCGGTCCAAGGCCATGGCGCTGGTGGCGGGGGCGACCGGCGTGAGCTCGGTGGAGGTCACCGGCGACGGCAAGGACCGGCTGCAGGTGGTCGGCGACGGCGTCGACCCGGTCTGCGTCGTCAACCGCCTCCGCAAGAAGATCGGCCACGCGGAGATCGTGCAGGTGGAGGAGGTGAAGGAGAAGAAGCCGGATCTGCCCAAGAAGCCGGATCCGCCCAAGCCGGAGCCGCCCAAGCCGCCGGTGGTGTGCTACCCTCCTACTCCCTACTACCACCACCACTACGGCGGGCCGCCGCCGCCGGTGGTCTTCTGCGACCAGCCGAGCCCGAATGGCACATGTTCCATCATGTAATTTTTGTTTTGGAGTAGTTTCTTCATCATCATCAGCGATTAAGTACAGCAATGGAGCGAATGAAGCATATTAGGCAGTTGATCAATCATATCCTGCAGAGAGAAATTCGAGTTGTAAACAAATTTTAGTTGAATTTCAAGCAGTTCAAACAGAATTTAACCAAGTTTGAGAACAAAATACAAATGTATAGTTCAAAAGAAATTTCCGGAGTATCCGAGATAGTGAGATTTTAAACCATCTATCTTAAATGATACTAAAACATCTAAACCATGGCCATAAGAAACGAGGTCAAAGACCATGTTCCTATATGACCCGGCAACATGGTCCCCGTCTTGAAAATGCCAGGACATTTTCCTCCCATCTGGTAAAAAACCACTCGTCAGTAACATATCGTGTTTCTCTGTACATTGACGTAAGAACTTTTGTGATTATGACCTGAAAAAAAAAAGATACGGTGAATAATGAAGCTCAATAGTTATTATGCAGTGATTTTGTAGGAGCTGGTCTTCTGCTGGTCTGTGTTTTAACAGAGGCGTGGTTTTCCTGGTCCTCATGAGCCGGAGAAAATTCACCGGGCTTCTCTTCTTCTTTCAGGACAAGAAGTACATACTTTCTGTACAAAGGATCGATCTGCCCCACAAGGCCACAATAATCCTCACATTTAGATGGTGTTTGGAAAGAAGGGACTAAAGTTTAGTCCTTCCCACAAAAATTTTAATCCTTATAAGAGAGACTTATACTTTTGTGAGAGAGACTTATTCATGTATAAATTCGGCCCCTACTATATACATGGATCATCTTAGCAGGTCAAAGGCTTACAAGGCAGTATCTCTAGATTTGAGAGATGGGGTCATCATCATCACTCATCAGATATTCAGATTTCTAGGAATACTTTCTGTAAAATAATAGAAGGGTTAAAATCTCCAACATATATATCTGCAGATGTATTTCTAGTTGATCTGAACATATATACTTGTATTTGTACCGACATTAATTTGTATACGGCCTGTATATTTTACTATTAAAGCAAACCAAACAAGATTACGAAGCACATGCTGCCAGCAAGACCATATTATAGGGTAATGTTTTTACTGCCAACGTACTGTTGTACGTGTTCGGTGGGGATATTCCTAGCAGTAGTATCTATATCATTATTGGTTGAGCATAATCGTGTGATAGGAGTATGACATATGCCAATTAATTGACAACAACTGATCTTTTATTGTGCTTTTCACATAGGCAGGTCGGCTGCAACAGCTACAGCTGTGGCTGCGCATAGTGAGTGCGGCACTGTTTATGTCGGCTGTGGCGCAGCTGCGAAGGCAGTAGCTGAAGGCCCATAAAGCTTCAAGTGCAATATCGATGACATATTTTATATGATATAAAGTGTTTTCTACATAGTTGTGTAATACTATAACATATGTCAATTGATATGGAAAAATATGTAGTGCAAATAATGTATATAGTATAACTCTAGAAACTACCATTGTATAAAAAAAATGAACGCCTGAGATTTGTTCACGTCAACAGTTTTACTAATAATGACGTGAAAAAATCTCAGACGTTTATAGTCATCTTTATGATAGCTTCTAGATTTACTCTATATATGCGATTTGCGCTATATATTTTTCTCCGATGCACTCTTTTATTAGGGGTACTTGTGTTCCTAGCTGCTGTTGGTTTAGGGCAGTCCTGGCAGTAGTATCTATCGTTGCCAAATCAGATGGAAAATTTAGTAGTAGAAAGTTTAGCTCTAATGGAAAATTGTTTATCCTCTAGTTCTTATACCGATATCATCCAAATCATTATTAAAAAATTGAAAAAAATATATGAGTTAGATTAATATAACATAAACCACTCTACAAAATATGCTATTATTTTAAAGACATGCACAAGTTATAAAACAACAACAATATATAATTGTGAATACATGTATACTAGTTTCACTCTTAATTTCAGATCAATTTGTTCTTTTTGTTACAGATTGTAGAACTTGAATTTAACCTTGTCTCCGTGCGTTGGGTTCTATATCTTATATTAATCTATCTTATTGATTTTTAAAAAATTTAAATAACTATTTAGATAACATGTAAAATACGAGGGTGTCCCTTGAGAGGATGAAAATCCAGTATCTGTATATCTCTGGTAGGAATAATAATAACGGTATCGGTAAATCTGCAAAGCTTGTGGCTTGTGCTAGCTCGCCGTTAAACTGAGCTGCTGCTGCAGCTAGCCATGCACGCTACTGGAAGCGGGCTCAGATCTGGATCGATATATCGACGTCAACCAAAGAACCAAGTCAAGTCGTCGCGTCTACCTATACAGCGTCGTCCCAGCTCGATGATTAGCTAGCGCGCACCCTCCGATCGGACACTCACCCCCCATGACCCATCTGATTAGCTAGCTAGTTTCAGATGATTATACGTTTTCCGTCAGATCGAGTTAGTTAGTTAGGTCGCATATATACTCGTATATTTGTTTAGTTGGGCGAACGATATAGCTGCGTCGAATGTTCTAACTACGTCGTCGCCAACTCGATCGCCGTTTAATTTAATTAATTCAAGTCTCCGCTACTACAGTGGCGATATTCGAGCATTAGCTAGTGTGCGTGTGTGTGGTTCTCGCGCTATATAAGGAGCCCCCGGCGCTGGCCTTCTGCATCCACCGCTAGAAATAAATCGCAACGCACGCAGCTTAGCTGCAGCAAGCTAGATCATCTTGCTCGCGTTTGCATCTCTCTTTGTTCATATCACGTATCGTATACGTATAGTAGAACGACGAGATGAAGGTGAGGTTTATACCTTTGACATTTTGAGCATTTCTCTGAAGCAGCAGGAGTAGCAGCGTATGACAGAGAGACTGATCGATCGCTTTCATGGCGTACGTTTTGTTGAAATTTTGAAATATTAATTGCTGTAATTAATTGATTGATTGCAGCAAAAGATCGTGATCAAGGCGTGCATGCCGTGCGACGGGTGCAGGGTGAAGGCGCTGGGGGTGGCGGCGAAGGCGGACGGGGTGATCTCGATGGCGATCACCGGCGACGACAGGGACCGCCTCGAGGTCGTCGGCGACGGCGTCGACGTGACCTGCCTCGTCACCTGCCTCCGCAAGAAGGTGCGCTTCGCCGACGTCCTGCAGGTGGAGGAGGTCAAGGACAAGAAGCCGGAGGAGGAGAAGAAGAAGCCGGAGGAGGAGAAGAAGCCGCCGGAGTGCCCGTGCCAGGCCACGCTCCCCGTGCCGTGGTGCCCTCCTCCTCCGTGCTACTACCCGCCGCCGTCGATGGTCTACTGCGAGGAGCAGCCGAGCCCCTGCTCCATCATGTGATCAGTCACACAGTACAGAGATCGATCGAATTTTTTGCAGTAATATCGTATCTTCATCGATCAGCAATCAAGTACAGCAGTACACACCGATCGAGTGAATTGATGAACCATATATATCCATGAATTAATATCCATATATGAGTGCATGGATGGCTGTACAAAATAAAGTATTAGTACTACTTTTGAAAATGATCGAACTACGACACTGGTGTGTGTACATCTCAATGCTGGTTTGCGTCCTCATGAAGTTCGGAAACGGATGTGATTTTCTTTCCGGCGGAAAATTAAACGCATGTGATCGATCGATCTCATCTACTCCTAGCTATAGCTTTCAGATGTGCTAATCTGCCATCCATGGCTAGCCAAGCCAATCAATATTAGCTGCTCACGTATGACGAGGGCCAGAAGTCACAATTATCAACGTGCGTGTAAACAAATCAAACGTGGAAATATGTACTCTGAATTGTATCGATCGACACGTCCTGCCGGCTGCATCATATCGTTGTTCGAACAAAAATAGTCCCAGAACGTGTCCCAGAACGGCATATGTACAAAAATTTAGCATCCTGAGAACTATAGTCCCAGGGTGGCATATGTACAAAAATTTAGCATCCTGAGAACTATAGTCCCAGAACGTGTAATAATCTAAATCTCGCAGGGAGAAATTCAAAGTGTAGACAAATTTTAATTGAATTCCAAGCGGTTGGGGAACAAAAATTGACCAAATTTGACGAAACTAGAATATATGTGAAATTTTTGGTGAGTTCAGAATTAAAAAAATGGGGAGCCTCTCCAAGATATATATATATATATATAGCGAGATTCCGAACCCAGCCGCAAGGAACTGATCTAATGCTGAATGTTAAAAGAGAAATTTTACAGTCCTTAAGAAAGTAACGTGAGGTAGCAAAATTTTACACTAAATTTTTTAAGTACCTTAAGATACTAAATTTTACACTAGAAAATATGGCACCTCTAGGTACATTCTCAAGGATGGTAAAATTACCCATGTAAAAAACATCTGAATATGAAAAATATACGGTGGGTAAAAATGCTCTATTATTATACAGTGATTTCTTAGGCTAGGGGATGGTCTTCTCCTGGTCAACGATTTAACAGTGACGTGGTTTTCTTTTTTCTTTATCCTTTGAGCCTATAAAAATTCAACGAGGAAAACCAACATCCATACTAGATTCCACAGTCTCTTTTCTTTTTCAGGACAAACGGAAGTACAGGTGCAGCATTCAATGCAGGTATTCAAATACCCAGGAATAGTTTCTGTATCGTCTTCAGATATTCAGATTCTCAGGTATAGGCCTGGTTTAGTTCTCAATTTTTTTTTCAAACTTTCATGTTTTTTATCACATAAAAACTTTTCTACACACATATGTGGTGTTTGGGATGAGAGAGACTTATTTTAGTCCCTCTCACAAAAACATATACTTCCAACTTTTTTTTTGTGAGAGGGACTAAAATAAGTCACTCCCATTCCAAACACCATCATAAACTTTCAACTTTTTTTTTCAAACTTTCAATTTTAGCGTGGAACTAAACACACCCATAGTCTCTGTGAAATAAAAAAAACAGGAACGGCTCCAACATACTTGACGATATATTTAGTTGATTTGGACATAACCATTTTGTATTTGTGTACCGACATTTGTACTCTAGAGTCACTCCTAATCATTTATATAATTTCAAAGATACATTATATTATGACTACCAAAATACGAGTAGAATCCAGTGCCTACACCTACCACTTCATGTTTGAAAACCATTCGTCATGAGATGCACATATATATACACGATTCGTTTTCGCCAAGATACTTTGGCCAAAAGTGCGTATTCCTACCCCATTTCTTGCCTGTTTCTGCTATCTGATGGCCGTGACATCTAGTAGTAATAAGTAGTTCAGATAGGTTGAAAGGCACAGCCCTTGTAAGAAACAATTTTCCAGCTTGTAACAATGTCCTTGTCTACGTATACTTAAGTTCAGAGACGTGTGCATCTTCAGACTAATTTAGTGTTGACTACATCATCACCATCAAATCCACCAAAAGACAGAATAAACCAACAATAGTTATATGAGTCAAGTAATTTAATTAACACATAGCAAGTGGAATTATTGAAAGCTAGAAGCTGAGGTGGCAGCTTTGTTAAGCGAGCGTGTTCACACCGAAGGTTGATATACTTTGCAGCTTCTTAATAAGGGATAATTGCTGAAAGTACTCCTAACTTTGTACATTTCCAGGCATTTATGGGTTAACAGAAAGTGCTTAGAGCACTTAACAGATTTTAGTGCTGCAGACTCTCGTACTTAGCCATAAGAAATTATTTTAAGAACGAATTACGCCAACTTCGTGCATTATATGAGTCAGTCATTCTGATTTTCTGGGCGTGTGAAAAGGTAACTTCTCTTTACATGGTGTTGGTGTTAGGTTATCTCTTTTTCCCCGTTGGTTTCCAAGTCTCGTCAATTTCTTATTTATGATTCTGTTGAGAGTTCTGTAAGCTGGTAGTATATACTAGTATACACACACATCTTTAGCTGGATATAATAATTTAAATCACACCCTGACAAAATAAATGTGAACGATCAAGGAAGTAACATACCACCTATAGTTTTGTACTTTTCCCCATTTTTCTCTGTACTTCTTTTCCAATTTTCTCTCTGTTGTCTTGTGCAATTTGCACGCTCAATTATGCAAGTCCAAGCGTCAGAGTGGTAGTCAGAGAGTGTCAAGACTGGCAGCTAACCTCCAGAAAATTTTTAACAAAGACGGATAGATGCAGCACTCAGACGAATAATGGCGTCAATAATTCAGTGAACAAACGCAATCAAAGAATCAACGATTTCATCTTGGTCTAGCGAAAAGCCAACACGCTTTCTACGGTGTAGAGATCAGCGTGCAACAAAAGCAAGCTTTTCGGAAAGGCAAGTCCTAAACAAAGAATTACCCTGCAGTCTAGTGAAGTCTGGGTTGTTTAATTGGCTCTCAAACTACTCAGAACCTTCTTGTTAGATGAAGTCTTATCCTTAATTGGTACACAAAGTACATCCCTTCGGCCTAAGGCAAGTGATCGCATAGTACATATACTTCCTCCCTTTGATATATTATAATACGTTTTTACCTTCCTTTTTCGTCTAGATTTACTAATATCTATATAAATTTGAACACGTATATAAAACACATACATATAACCATATATGAAATCTATTTAAAACCCAAAATGTCTTATAATATAAATCAGAGAAAGTAGTATTTAAGTAGGATCAGCAGGGCCTGCTGCTAAATTCATCAGCCAATGCAACAATCTGTCGGCTTCATATCACAGTTACAGCGGTAACAAAAAGACGAAGACGTAAACATTTCCATTATCCGAAGAATTATAGGATTTCAAATTATCACTTTGCCACAGTTTAGTTCGTAAACGTCAGATTAATGGACAGATAATGCACCGCGGCATTCTACAAAACCACCAATGCGTTTGTCTATTTGTAGCTACCATTTGGGCTGGAAGCCAGTAGAGGCGAGGTGGTCCACTGGTCTGCTCCTCCTTATTGGGCCGGGCCCAAACCGACCACTCGGGCTGGACAAGGCAAGGTGGCCCACTGGTCTTCTCCTGCCTATTGGGCCGTGCGTTCTAGGCCAATATTAGCCTCCGTGGGAGTGGAAAGAAGGGTGGGAAATTTCGCTATGGCAGAGTAGCCGCCGCCATCGCCTCCTTCCCGCGCTAAGCTACCACCGCCGCCGCCGCCTCCTCTCCGCGCCGAACTGCCGCCATCACCAGCCGAGCAGCCGCCGCCGTCGCCTCCTCCCCGCATCGGGTCGTCGCCACGGTCGTTTGCTCCGCCCGCTAGCGAAGCTGCCGCCACCGCCTCGCTAGGGAGGGAGGTGGCTGTTTTGCCACCACTCACGAAAAACGGAGCGGTTCATTAGCGCGTAATTAATTAAGTATTTGTTTTTTTTAAAAAAAAATAATCAATATGATTTTTTTAAATAACTTTCGTATAGAAATTTTTTACAAAAAATATACACCGTTTAGTAGTTTGAAAAGTATGTGCGCGGAAAACGAGGGAACATAGAGTCACCGCCGCTGCTTGGAGCTCCCTTCCTTTGGCTTATTCACAGTATGGGGCTGTGGTCCGACTGGGAATGGGGTAATGGTGTCGGAGCCTGGCTCCCTTCCTTTCTTCTCTGCCTAGGGTACAAAAGGTCAACAGAAAAATACAAAATCAGTATTCCTTCTTTTTCTTGTTTTATAGCTCTATAATTCAAGGTCCACTAAATTCCGTCAAAAACAAGAGTAGATGTCTCCTTCGTTTCAAACAAGTGAGGACAAAAATAAAAACCTGAAAATAAGGATAAAATCAATATCGAAGTAGAAATGAAATCATCCCATGTATCTTCGTGCTTGCTGTTAGCCCTGAACTGAACTGGCCGCGGCAGCCACTGCTGGAATTAACAGAGCTTTGCCTTCGCGAAGCGGCTCCCATCAGGATTAATTCAGGGTCGTCGACCATGAACCCAATTTAGTCAAGTCGTTGACTGGTCGTCTACACTACAGATCGAGAGAGAACGTACAGGCACCCAGGCTCAGCCATTCAGCGTGACTAGACGCTCCGATCGGAGACTAGTCTGCGACTAATCCCAGACTTAAATCTGAAACTGACAGCTGACGCGTTCCGATCCGTACGTGCCAGAGTAGCTGCGCGGAATGCTCTTTCGTCGCCGTCTCATGCCAGTGGTCTAGTAGTAACGATGGCGATGCGCCGCTATATAAATGAGCTCCCAGGCGTGGCCTTCTCCTCCACGGCTAAGCTCAGCTAGCTACAATCGCAAATAGCTGCAGCGATCGAGCGAATATTGATCGTGCTCGATCATCTTAGCCGCATTGCAAACGATCGAATCGATCGGCCGATAGCCTTTCTCGTTGGCATTTTATTTCAAGCAGAACACGATGAAGGTGAGGGGAAAACTGTTCGATTGTGGTCGCTTAATTTTGGCATGCAGCTTAATCAATTCTGACCAAATCTTTTTTAGCATATGCGACTGACAGCTTAATTTCTGTCCGTTGATCGAATTATTGCAGCAAAAGATCGTGATCAAGGTGAGCATGCCGTGCGAGAAGAGCCGGTCCAAGGCGATGAAGCTGGTGGTGATGGCCTCCGGCGTGAGCTCGGTGGAGGTCACCGGCGACGGCAAGGACCGGCTGCAGGTGGTCGGCGACGGCGTCGACGCGGCCTGCCTCGTCACCTGCCTCCGCAAGAAGATCGGCCACGCGGAGCTCGTGCAGGTGGAGGAGGTGAAGGAGAAGAAGCCGGAGGAGAAGAAGCCGGAGGAGAAGAAGCCGGAGCCGTGCTACTGCCCTCATCCCTGCTACTACCACCACCACTACGGTGGGATACCGGTGGCCGTCGGCGACCAGCCGAGCGACCCCTGCTCCATCATGTAATCATATATAGTCACACAGATCGATCGAATTTTGCAGTGATTTCTTCAGCGATTTGGTATGGCTATGTACAAAGAAATAGTAGGAGTGGTAGATATACTATACTACTATATCTTTGTGGGGCTTCCTTCGCCTTGTTTAAATCCAAACTTAATTGGAAATGAAAACTTACTATAATGTTCAGTAGCATGATTGCGTCCTCATGATTGTTCAGTAACATGCGATTTTCTTTCAATGTGCTAATCTGCCAATCCATGGTTGGCCAATCAGCAAGCAATGCAATCGATAGCTTCGATCGTATGACGACCACGAGAGGTCAAATTAGCAAAAGTCGATCACTTGGAAAGAATGACGTCACGTGAATTGACGTATCGGTGACATACCTATAAATTGCTCCGAGCTGATCGATACGTCCTGCACCATTGTTTAGCCATACATGCTACAGTCGTACGAAAATTTGGCATGTTTTGTGCGGTTCTCTCAATGGCACGTATTCTTTTCTGTCCACTATTTTCTCAAAAAATAAATTCACAAATATCCCTAAACTACAATACACTAGGAGCCAACGTATATAAACCCATATGTGGAATATTTTCTAGAGACGATTGACTTAAGATGGCAGCCTCTGAAGATGCACATGTTTTCATAAGCGGCCATCTTAAGTGATCGTCTCTGGAAAAATACTTCTATAAAAATATTTATGGAGGGGCCTTTTTTTTTTTACCTCTCTCAGACATGCTCATTCTTTCTTGCTCTCTCCCTTTCTGATTTTCAGCCACTACCTTGTGGTGATGACAAATCTAACCAATGGACGGGGAACCATAATTTCCTGTTGGTTGGGGGGGGAGGGGGGCAGATCTTATGGGATAAACCCGACTTTTAGTTTCATATCTCTTCTTCTATAAAGCTAATGACCACTAAATATCTAAAACTCAACATGCAAGCATAGCATTTATTAGTACCCTGGCCCTAAAGCCTAGCATGCACATCAACCCACTAAACATATAAAGCTCAACATATAAGCATATAGTAATTATATCTACAATTTATTTTATTCTAAAACTAAACTAAATATAAGCATCATTCTCAAATCATTTTCACAATATTTCAATCCAAATCATTTAATCATTTCTACAATATTTAATATATATATCCCGCAACAAAGTGCGGGACATCGTCTAGTTTCTCATAGGAGCAAGTGCAGAAAGTAGCGGCGGCCGGAGCGACATCAAGGAGCGGGAGTGGGAGCGGTGGCAGTTGGAACTAGAGTAAGGAGCGGGACACGAAGTGACAGAGGGGGTGCAGCAACTCCACATGAGCCAGAGCTGTGGTGGTTGTAGTGCGAAGAACTCTACGGGAGTAAAAATGACGACGGGAGCATGAGTAAGGAGCGAGAACTAAAACCTTGCGGCTACCTGATTTCTTTCCGCTTCTCCAATTCTGAATTTTTTTGTTCTTCTTTTTTTTTTTTTGCTATTATTCTAACTTGATATGTATTTTTGGGCTGTATTCTATATTGTGTATGTTGTTATTGTGGAAATGATTTTAGATTCAACAAACTATTGAGTGCATTGCGTATTTTTTAATCGTATTTGATATTATGTACGTGATTATTTCTTTAGGAGAAAAGGGGAAGAGGAAAGATCAAGAAGATAGGCAAAATAAGATGAGCTAGCCATTAGCGCATAATTATTTGAGTATTCATTATTTTAAACTTGAAAAGTTGGATTAATATGATTTTTTAAAGTAATTTGGGAAGGGTAGGCTCGTAAAACAGGACACTTTCTATATATGTGAAATTTTCAATTAGTTAAGGTTCAAATATATGTGAAATTTTCAGTTAGTTCAAATATATGAATCGGTAAAAACTGGTCTACGCTAAATCTGAGAAACACCCAGAGGTTTTTGGCTACCTCCACAGGTGGTAGGCTAGACGACCTGGGTTCGAAGCCTCACAATTATTTGATATTAGGTCACGAGTATTTGCTTTTTTTTTTGGTCTACGCTGAATCATAATAAAAACATCTGGATAAGAATAGATCGTGCGTAAAAAAATCTCGATTACTATGCAGTGATTGCGTAGGAGCTGGTCTTCTACTGGTCAATGTTTTACAGCAATGTGGTCCTCTTGTTCAAGTCAAACCAACAATCATAGATTCCACTTGTCCAAGTCGTCGTCTTCTTCTTCTTCTTCTTCTTCTTCTTCAGGACAAACAGAAGTGCATCACTTTCTTTCATGAAGTCTATTTCTGTACAAGGGAGTAAACTCTAAACTTGGGTGATTGTCTCACCAGATATTCAAATTTCAAGAACTAGTTTTTTGTAAAATAAAAGGAAGGATCAGAATCTCCAACATACTAGCAGATGTGTATTTCGCAATCGATCTGGACAATTGCACTCTGGAGCTGCTCCTAATCAGTTAATCACTCCATTCTTTTTTTCAAATATTTGACCGTTGGTTAGTTCAATTTTAAGCTAATCACCATAAAAATAAATAAATAAAGTAGTATATAATTTCAAACATGCATTGTATTATTATACTACCTCCGTTCCAATTTAAGTGTAGTTGTGGGTTTTCGTGTACAAAGTTAGACCATCCGCCTTATTAAAAAATATGAAAAAAATAAAAAATAGTCACACATAAAATACTATTTATATTTTATTATCTAATAACAATAGAAAATATTAATCATAATTTTTTAGTCAAATAGGACGGTCAAATGTTATACGGTTCGTTTTTGAAGAATAGTATAGGAATACAACTCGTGGAGCTGAGCTGACAGACGCAACGGGAGATTTCGACGGTTCCCCTGGTCAAATATATTGAATTGAACTAAACTTAATTAGTTCTCCAAAACATGAAACAATTTTGACCGGAGAGAGTAGTGAGGAGACCAGATAGGTTGAAAGGTACAGGTTCTTGTCTATGACTCTTGTTTTCTTCTTCTTCCTCTTCTTATTCCTCTTCATTTCTTTTCTTTTCTTTTTTTTTAGAACGACTCCACTATATCTATTTAAGCTGAGAGGCACGTGTATCTATAGACTATTTCTTTCATCCTATAAAAAATCAATCTAGTACTACGAATCTCTACTGTCCAGATCCATAATATTAGGATATGTTACATTCAATTCTAGATTTATTTTTTTTTAACGGGGGAGTAGTTTAGTGCTGACTACTAGCAACATCGTCATCAAATCCACCAAAAGACAGAAATATATCAACGATAGTTAAATAGGTTAAGCAATGTAGTTAATTTAGCAAATGGAACTATTGAACGGTGATGATTAGTGTCACGTAAAAGCTGGTTGATGAGTGGAAGTTTCGTTAAACGAACGGGTTCACATCACACCGAAGGTTGCCATGTTCATGTTTTGCACCTTCTGATACTGATATCTGGCAGTACGTACTCCTAACTTTGTACGTTTCCGGGCAATTGGGGTTAACAGAAAGTCCTAAAACAAGGACTAATAACATGCAGAACCTTCTTGTTATATGAAGTGTTATCTCCATAATTAGTACAGAAAGTACATTCCTTGGGCCTACTGCGAGTGATCCTACTATTTAAAGCAGAATCAGCCAAGAATTCCCCGGCCTCACAGTTATACAGCGCTGCGAAAGAGCCTCGAATTATATGGAGAATATGGAGAAAATTTCTTCACTTTATTAGGATTGCAATCAATCAGACAATCACTCACTTGCCACAGTTTTATAGTTCATAAGTTTAAAAGGGACATAAGGGTGAGGTCCAATGTAATGGTGTGTGCCGAATTTTTCATGTGTAATCGGGGAAAAAGAATATCATAAGCAGAAAGGAATAAGTTTACCGGAGGTCCCTCAAGTTAACAGCGAAATTTTTCGAGGTCACTTAACCACAAAACCAGAAATCTTCACCCCTAAACTATACAAAACCGTTCACTCAAAGTCCCTAGGCAGTATATATGGATGGTTTCGCTGACGTGGCATTCTAGCCAGCAAAAAAAAATTAAACAAAGCACGTGGGGCCCACATATCAGCTGCATATATTATTTTCTTCTCTTTTCTTCTCCTTTCTCTCTTCTCTCTTCTCTTCTCCCTGCTGCTACTCCCGTCCCTGCCCCGGCCGTGGGACACGAGATCCGCCGCCGCCGCCGGAGTCCTCGTCGTCGCTGCCTGCTAGAGAGCGTGCAGTTGGGGAGGTCGCTATTAGAAGTATAATCTTGTTGTTTTGTTTTCAGCATGTTTATTTGTATGGTAGTAGCTGAGTAGAAGTCACATGTATGTGTGTTGCATGGCATGAGTGCTAGCTTAGTGGTTGTGCTGCATGGCTTAGTGAGTAGAGAGATTGGCATTGAGTAGTGGTTGATCGTGTTGCCAGGAGGTGAGAGTACATCTAGCTAATTAGTTAGCCATGCATGCAAATGTGGCGAAGGGATCAGCTCAGGAGCAAGAAGCGGTCGAAGTTTGCATGGGCGCATGCATCGGAGATTGACCAGGATATATTCTGTTAGACATGGGTGAGTTTGTTATTTAGGATTCTTGCATTTCTTTAGGCTTAAGCAGGTTATGTGCATCTTTAAATAGAGATCAATGTAATCAGTTTCAGTGTGAGAAATAAACAGAAAAAGAGTGCTACGCACTTGCAAACTCTCTGTGTTCTGAGTGCTTGTGTGTATGCGCTTGTGTTCTTGTGAGATTGAGTGAGTGAATAGCTTTGATTTCCAACAGTCGCGCTGGGCTCCTCGTCCTCCTCGTTGCAGCTGCCCCCCTCGCCGTCGTTGTCTCCGCCGGTGGCGCCGGCCGGTTCATGTCGATCGACGCGTCGCCGCCGCTGCTCCACCACCACTCTCGCCCGCCGTTGCAGAGGCCGCAAGGGGAGCAAGGCGTCGGCGGCGGCGAGGCGGTTCTCGGCCGTGGCCAGCTCGACCTGGAGTCTCTCGAGCTCCTCGCCGGGGGCATGGAGGGACAACGCGGCGGCGGCAAGCCAGGCGCAGGAGGGACGACACGGCAGCGGCATGGCGGGATGACGCGGCTGCGGCAAGCCAGGTTGAAGATGATGTGTGACGATGCATGCACCGCTGCATGCGCAGGATGATACTGATCTCTTAGGTAGTAGTACTAGTATCATAGTAGTAGAACTTTGGTAGGATCGGAATAGTTGGTTTGTGCTACCTTTGTTTTCGGTTTATGCCTCCTGGTTGGCTGGGTACGT